GAATGCTCCAACACTGGAAGTTTTTAAGAAGAGACTGGACAGCCATTTGTCCGAAATGGTATAGGGTTTCCTGCCTGAGCAGGGGGTTGGACTAGATGACCTTCAAGGTCCCTTCCAACTTTACTATTATTATTATTATTATTATTATTATTATTATTATTATTATTATTATTATTATTATTATTATTATTATTATTACATATAAAAAGAATAAATGATGGTTGTTTGGATAAGTGAGCTTCCCTTGTACTTACTGTTCGTGCAAGATCTCTGCAAATAACATTATTAGTCAATAACTGTAGAATAATCTCTGTGTCCCACTTTCGACAGTTTTGAATATACTCATGGCTTCCCACACAATGCTTGCTGTGAAAACAATAAATGCTGGTGATTATTCACTATTTCAAATTATCAATAAGATTTTCAATGAACATGAGTTCAAGTCCTGCCTTAGCCATGAAAACCAGCTGGGTGACTCTGGGCCAGTCACTCTCTCTCTCTCAGCCCAATGCAACTCACAGGACTGTTGTTGTGGAGAAAACAGGAGGAAGGTGTGTTGGATAGGCCTTGAATTATTTGTAAAAATAATAAAGGCAGGATACAAATAAATAACTAAGAATATATGGACATGGTTTTTAGAATCCATGGCTCCCTTCCCTTCACTAGTTTTCCCATTTCTCTTTTCAAGTATTGCTTAGCAGAACTAGAAAGGGGCTAATAGCAACCATGGTTGGAAAAGCTTACAGAGATTATTCTGAATTTCTGCTTACTATGTTATTAATAGTAAATAATTAGGATGCTAGTCTTCTAAGCATCATAAACACGCTGAGCAAATATATTTCTCAAATAAAATAACTCTAGACATATTTAAAACTATTATTTTGGCATATTTAAGTGGAACAGGATTCATATTCCCAGCTTTGCCTGTTCTGATGTAATTGCCCCATTACTGCAGCATGTATTTTAAACATGAAAAGTTGGCAGAATCACTCTTAATAAAACTCCAGACTAAGAGATGATGCAGAACCTGCAATAAGCCAAAAATATATTCGTTTTAAGTAACTGACAAGACACATGCTTTTACAACTAGCTGCCATTTTCAAATACTACAGGATTCTGCATTAGACAATTGAATGTATTCCATGACAGCATATTTTTTCTAAGTATAGTTAAGTTTGACAATGCTAGTATGATTTATTATAAATCTGAAATCTAAACAGATAAAAATAAAATAAAATGAACAATATGCCATATCTAAATGAATACAGTAGAGTTCCAAATTCAACGATAACACCTATTTTAATTCTGATTGCTAAACTACTTACTCTTTTTCCAATTAGTAACAGTCAAATTTGCGTTCACTATAGTTTTGTAGAAATCAGGATGTAACCAAAGCAAAACTTACTTCTGTAAAACTTCTTCTTGTCCACAAACTTTCAAAATATAACTGCCAATATCTACATTGTTCAAGTCATCATGCACCCAGCAAAGAGCCTGCATTATTATAAGTTCAACTGGAGAACTCACTGTTTGGGGAAAAACAAACACAAAAGAAAAGGCAACAAAAATAGTGAACTGAAGGCAGTTTTTTAAAATAGAAAAACATGAGCAATTAACTCAATGCAACCTGAAGAGTTTTTGAAATATTGTAGTTAGCAATTTGAGTAATAGAATAAAAAATTAACAGCAATTTATTCTCAAAAATCCATTCAGCTGTAATTAAAAGGCATATCTGATGCTCTATGGCAGGGGTGTCAAACTGCCGGCCCGCGGGCCAGACGCGTCATCCGGAAGCTGTGCCCACCCCATTGCCGGCAATGGCAAAACTGTCCCGATACGTTGCGTGACGTCACATGACGTCACGAGTTTGATATGTCTGCTCTATGGCTACATCAGAAGGTAGGAAAACAAAGCATATGTTGCAAACATAATGGATGGGATTAAAAATACAGGTAAAAGTCCACACGTTTTAAATATCAGTTCCAATGGAAATGGCTCCTGTAATGCTGATCTCTAGGAATGTGCTTGATAACCCATGGAAGTCAAGCCGAAATATCTTAAAACCATGAAGTTTATGCCCTGCCTAGCCTTTTTTGCATAGGGGGGGGGAAGTGCTAAGGCAGCCAGATGTTTCCTTTTGGAATTGCAGAACTCTGCGGAGTCTTGGGAAAGCTGTGCTTTCTTTCCAGAGCCTTGGAAAAGTAAAGGTATTTTTTCTTTTTTTTTTACTACAAAGCCAGCCCCAGCACTCCAACCCCACCCAGGAGCATGGGAAAGGGGGCATTTTAAGACTGTAGCGGAGTAGCTGCCTTTAGCATTTTTTCCCCTTCTTCTTTGTAAAAGGGCCAGGTTGGACAATCTCATGGAAGGAAGAACATTGTGAAGGTCTCTTGGACAGTGTGGGTGGCTGGGCTGGAACATTCCAGGAGTTGGAGCTTCATCGGGGGAGGGGCTGCTTTGTGCCTCTGTGGTCTCCCTCTTGTGTGGAACTTTTTGAGGGGCAGCTGCCTTGTGCCTTGCTGTGGAGGCTTCCCTGGTGTTCAGTCTAGGAGCAGGGAGACTGCTTCATGTTCTACTATAGAAGCTTCCAGATATTTTGCATTTCCTGGCAAAAAAAGTGTGATGCCTTTTTGCTGCGTTGTTAAGCTAAGGCGAGTTCTTTTTTTTGACTCCCTGCGCCATGCATACTGCAAAACCCCCAAAGCTTGCCTGTGGCCTGCTCTAAGATTCACCCAACCCGAGGCACCCCCACTTTCCACTTAACCCACATGATCATTCAATGACCTTGTCCAAGAAAGCCATGATGTAGTTGTAAAGTTGAGTCAAGTCACATGGTGACCCTATTAACAACTGCAATGACTTACAACCAAAATTCCAGGCTCAACTGTGGCTGTAAGTCAAAGATTACCCTCAAGGGTATAATTTATTACCAACATTATTTTGGCAATCTTTCAATCTACTGAAATATATCTATTAAAATAAAGATGCACTTACCATCACATGTGAACGTCACTGGCTGTTGGAAACCTTCAATTTCTATTGAAATCTTGATGCTGGAATTCTCTCCACTTACATTTCTCTGCAACATGACTGGACTCAACACGAAACCTAAGTTTGTATCATGCTTGGTATGAGGAAACTTGGTCCTTAATCTGTAAACAACATGTTTATAAATGCAGTTACAATGATCACTGGAGTAACAAACAAGAACATAAAGCAACACAAAGTGCATTCAAATTGCAAATTTAAGCATGATTATGCAGGATTACCATTGAAATCAATGCACTTTCTGAATTTAAAATTCTTAGATTTTATATAGCTAATCTAATTTTCTTAACATTATTAATTTAATCCCCTCTCTACTCTGTTAAACAACATGCTCTGACAGGTTCAATATTTTAATCATCTTAAATCATCCATCAATTCCATCTTTTTTTTAAAAAGCCTCTACAATAGTTTTTAAACTGATTTGTGTAAAGCTAGTAATTCTGAAATAAACTACAGATTTGTTCTACCTCCTTCCTTCCTATATACTTGTGCAGCCAAACAAGTGCCATTCATGCAAATGAGGGAAATATCAACAGGCTAGAAGAAAGCACAAGGATTTATTTATTTATTTTTAAAAAAGGAAGAATTGGGAGGGAGAGATAAAATCATCTCTTCCTTTCAACCAGCAATTGATAACTCTTTGCTTAGTGGCAAGAATGTTGACTGGCTGTTCAAAAAACGAACAACTTTGAAAAGGACAGAAAGATTCAGAAAGGACAGTCATGTCATAATCTGCTCATAGAAGGAACGAAGAAGGACTGACAAGGATTTACCACAGCTAGATTTCGTATGGCTGGATCTAGCTCCAAGCCTGAAAAAGCAGAATTAATTTCTGGCCTAGCTTCTTGTTTCATATGTCACAATGAAAATATACTCCAACTTTCAAAGTTAACATAATTCATTTTCCACAAATTGCAGACTGAAGAAGGTCCCAGTTGGATAAGAATGATTTCTATCAAATAATGTAGTAGCTAGTCTTTAAGAGATTTAGAATACTCTTGAATGTAATCTAGATGCAATAACCTGGAGGACAGGCTAAAGCTGAGGAAGTAACTCACAGCAATTATATAATGTTATCTTATTACTTTCACACCCAGCTGTACCTCAACTGAGGGCTGGAAGAATGTATTAAGAAAAGAAATACTTTATAACAAAATTGCAATGTATTCCATATTAATTATATTAACTCCAATGGTGGGGCTGAGACTAATTCATCTTTCTTCAAAATATCTCCTGTTTAAATTACCCAGGTCAAAAATAGCATTCAGAGACTTCATTTGCAAACTATGTCATTACAAAAGTGAAGAATATAAGTAGCTCAGGATTCAATTGTTGGGTTCTTGCTTTTCTCCAAAGTTGGTTTTCTTCTTCCATTTAACGTCCAGTTTGGGTAACATCTTGAATACTCCGACACCAAGAAATGCCATTGGCTGGTTAAGTAGACATGAAAAAATAAGCAGCACCAGAAGCAAAGGTTTTTTTTTCTTTTTTAATACAGGTGTAAGATACATATCACTATCTTATATTCTTTCAAAAAGCATATCATGACAACAATGATGTGATTAAACAAACAAACAAAAATCCTTATGAAAACAATATTTTCAAGCAAAAAATTAAATGATATGCCTGGCAGAAAATAACCTCAGATAGGCATCTCTTATAACTGTCTAAGAGTCACTGACATTGATTGGGAAGATTTCATCACCACTCTTTCATGCTAATGTTTTTCAGCTGTTTCACTGCATAGCATCTTGATGGGTTTTAGATGCAGGCTTTTCCAAGCCCCTCCATTTCTTTTTCTCTCTGTCTCTTTTGCTATTCCCTTGGTGGATGTGCTGGAACAGTTAAGGCCACTGACATACCACAAAGTCCACTTTCAGTTGGACTTCAATCTTCTGGCAGATGGCTTCACATTATCCTGAGGCACCCTCTGGTACATTGAAAATTCATAGCAAATTCTGTGTTGGTGAGCTGCCCAGTCCCTGATTCAGCAAACCCCAGACCAGGGGTAGGCAACCTTGGCTCTTTTATGACTCGTGGACTTCAACTCCCAGAATTCCTGAGCCAGCGAGTTGAAGTCCACGAGTCATAAGAGAGCCAAGATTGCCTACCCCTGCCCCAGACCATAACATTTCCACTACCATCCTTTGGTATCGGGTTTTCTGGTGAAATGTTCTCTTTTGTTTTGCCAAACATGACTTCTGGTGCTGTAGCAGAATAACATATCTTTGTCTCTTCAGTCCAGAGCACATTTTTCCACAAGTCCTGGTCTCTGCCTTAGATGTTCATGACCAAACTTTAGCCTGGTCCCAAAGTTCTTTCTGAACACAATGGTTTCCTCCTGGCACCACACATTTTTGCAGCTTCTCTCTAATGGTAGACTCATGCACTTTGTCATCATTATTGACAAGAGTTACCATAGCTCCTCTGATAAAATTCTAGGGCTCTCAGAGATTTCTTTCAGCAACTTGCATTCTGCTCTTGGCCTGAATTTGCTGGGACAGCCTGGCCTGGGCAAGTGGGCAATTATTTTAAATGTTTTCCATTTGTAGATAATCTTCGGGCAGTGGATTTTAAATCCTCCCCAGACTTATAAAGTGCCTACAATCTTTTTTCCGAGGGCTTCAAAAGCTCTTTCAATCTAAGAATAGTGATAAGACACACTTTAGCAGCAAAGACCATCTCAAAGCAAGCATTTAGTTTAAATAAGACTGGTTCCTCCAAGATCTACTCATTTCCACCTGATCTGGTGCACCTGATTTTAATTTAGGTATTTGAGATAGTCATAAATGTAGGAATGTACTTCCTTTTTCCACATGCACTATTTCCATTTATTTAAGTTACACAATGAACTACAAAATTTAAACAGTACGTATTTGTTACATTCAATTCTCTATCAATATTGTTGAAATGAAAATCAAATAATTGTTGAAATAGTCAAAAACTTCAATGAGATGTAACTTACTTTTTCACTTGACTGAATGTCATGTAAAATATGTACCCGCTTGTCCAACCATTCCACAATGTAAGATTGGGCAGGATGTTTTTCTGGCAATTTGTCTTACACAATAATTTTTACTATATTTAAATGACTCCTGTTATTTGTTAGATTTATATCCCACTTTTATTACTTTATAAGTAACTCAAGGTGGTGAACTTTCCTCCTCCTATTTTTCCCACAGCAACAACCCTTTAGGTGTGATGGGCTGAGAGTGATTGGCCCAAAGTCACTCATCTGGCTTTCATGCCTAAGGCAGAACTAGAACTCCTGGTTTCTAGTCTTTAACTATTAGTATGGAAGGATTTTGTTGATTTGTGTGCTACAGTGATGCCAAACAGTTGGGTTAGGCTGTTGGTGGTTTCTGAGATGCTTTTGATGTATGAAAGAATTATCCTTTTCATGAATTGCAACACTTGTACTGTGATTATTTAACTGAATAGACCATTTTAAATGAAGTTGCATGGATATTCATTGATTTGGACAATATGTAATTAATCTATTTTTGTTTTCTGTAGTACTGGGCTACTACATTGCAGGGGGGGTTTTTTCTAACCATTATTTTTTTTGCTCAAAATGAAAGTGTCATTATATAATGAATCCATATTTGGGGTTGGGAGGATTTTCATATACCATAGTTCTTATACTTCATTTGTCCTGTTTGATTAGATTACTTAAGGTTTTCTTTTCATTTTGCTATTCAATTTGGATACTGGATTTGGATTTATGAGATTGTATGTCTCCCTGACTTTTAACCATTCTTTTGCTTCTAGAATATACTATGTTATGAGAGAATTATTGACCCCAAATCACTCATTCTTCACTCATGCTAAAGGGGAGATCAAAACATAGTTTCTCAGCTTCTGCTACAACATTTTAACTCCTATACCAAACTAATTCTCTAATTTCAGTTGCTTAATACTACCTTATACTTTAGTCCTTTATGGGGCATGCTGTGTTCTGAAGTAGATATGGAACAGCTCAACTGAACCATCCATTCTGGTTCAGTTTCATCTTTTTCTCTTGAGATTAGCTACAACTGGGATTCAGTTTTTCTTTTTACCCACTTGTTTTTGCAAGGTAGTTTCGACAGTAGTCCTTTAATGGGTTTCAGATTTATAGTTTGTTCTAATTTATGTTTTGTTGTTGATGGCTAGCTGGTGTTAGTCTAAGGTGTGCATCCATTATCATCAGATGTATCATTTTCTGACTGCTGTCTTCTGCTATTTTCTATTTGGTTGCATCACACCTTCTCAACCCAGCCCACTCATCAGATTATGGTTAAGGAAGGCATGTTGTCCTAACAGCTAATACATAGTCAAGCAATCCTTAGTTCAAAAGTAATATTTATGCCACTTTAACTTTATTTCTGATAGGGTTTTGAGAAAGAAAGGGAGTGGGTTGGGATTAATTTTGCCCCACTTTATACAGAGCAGTTTCATCGACTTTTTTCATATATATTTTTTAATAAAAACAAAAATAAAAATCCATAAAATACTGTTAGCAAAAGATTACTTGAAAATAATTGGCTCAAATAGAGAATGATTGCTGTACCATATGACACATATTTATTGGTGAGGACCTTAGCCATGGCTAATGCTAAATCATGGTTGTCAAATTCGACAGTATGGTCAATAGCATGCAAACATATTGCAGTAAAATGCTATGTTTTTCCTGATTAAGAAAAAGCAGGGTTCATACAAAATCCTGGCTTGGATCATACATCATTCCAATAACACTTAGCAAAAGCATTTGGACTTATATACTGTTCATAGTGCTTTACAGCACTCTTTATATGAGTCAGCATATTTCCTCCAACAATCTGGGTCCTCATTTTACTGACCTGAGAAGGATGGAAGGCTGAGTCAACTTGAGTTAGTCAGTATTGAACTCCTGGCATGGGCAGAGTTAACTTACAATACTGCATTCTAACCACTGCACTACCACGGCTCTTTTAAGCAAAGAAATAGCACATTGTATAAACCCAGGCAATTGTAAATTATTCACCAAACCTTGATTCAGCCACCCATATCCAACCTATAATGTTACTCTTTGCTTAGTGTGATAAGTGAACCAAGACACTTAAATTAACTTGCAGAGACTAGTTTCATTGTTAAAATGTTCAAAACCTTAAAATGTGAACAGGAAGAAAGTTTCTGTAACCAGTATATAAAAACAGTACTGATAATTTCCTTAAAAGGCACACATAGTTTATCATTCATTGTAGGAACAGAACTGTGTTAATATGGTGACAAAAAAAAGCCCATAGAAATTTGTTAGCATCTTTTCGGATTAACACATTTTACTAAAAGACATGAGCTTTCTTGAGCTACAATTCACTTGATGAAAGCTTATGCCATGTAATAAAATTTGTTACTTGAAAAAGGACTACCAGATTCCTGACATTACATTTCCATTAATAATAGTGACTGAGTTTGACTTAAATTGCTTACTTTGCAATGGCATCACAAAATGCTGCTTGCTCTTGATTTTGCCATTCAACGTTTTTTAGAAGTTTGTTTTCTCCTGGCAGGCTACTGGTCCCATTGTCTGTCTGAAATGTAAGGATAAAGTGAAATGAGATAGATATAATTCAAAAAATATATACAGGAAAGGTTTAGAAAGCTGATCTACATAGACCCGTTTACTAAAGGTAGTAATTTTGGTAGTAGAAATGGACAGTCTATATCAGTGCTGCTTTCAATTGGCAACTTTCAGCTGGTACAGAAATACTGGTGAGGAAGCAAGTGAAAGAGAGCTCTCCAATTCTACTACATTCACCCAAGAAGAAAAAATACTAGTTTTTGCTATTGTGATAAACCTGGGTTGAGTCTAAATTTAGCTGAGTTATTGATAAGATTTGATGGAAACAAGATATTTCATTACTAACTCATTTACTTTGTAAATGTCTAACATTAGGTAAAGTAGAGTTTTGGATGCTGCAGTTACAGCTGTGAATTTTAGATACATGTATCTTGAGATAATGAGTTTTTATGCCAACTGTAAGGCTTCTTCTAAACAGTTACTTCCAACAAAGGTGGTTTACCAAAGAGAATACAGAAGTATTCTGAATTTCTTTTCTTACTGGATTTTGGTAAAATAAAAAAAAATGAAAGTCACAGAAAGACTTAGGTAGTTTTAACAGCCTAAAGCTGTAATTTCTGAACCCATCAAAAAAACCTCTGTGGATTTGGCAAAGTGGTTGTACAACAGATGTTTTGTCTAAAAGCATCTCTAGATGAGCTATTAGGAAGCGATTCACTGTAATTTTATGTTACAGTGGAACTCAGATGTGCTGGATATTTCTGTGCTTTATATGCTTTGTAATTTCTTTAAATTTTCCCAGACGCTCTGATTCAAAGATTCCATTCTACAGTATTTAAGAAAAAGAGCCAAGTTACAATGTGGCAAGAGCTGAAGTGCCAGAAGTATCTCTACTTTTTATATTTCTCTCCACAGTTAAGAAAAAACAGTGCTTCTTATTCATATTAAAGCACATGCTCCTAGAAATCTGCTATTAAAAAGTAATAAATGTATCAAAATCTAGCATAAACTTTATTACAGAATGCCTACGGGCTCCACTGGATTGTGTGGAAGTATGCCCACCTGCCTTAGAGAAAGATTATTTTAGGACTGGAAAGTACCCTGGTGGACTGGGATCAGACTTACTAATTTGGTACATGAGTGTTTTGTGATTACTATACCTACCATAGCAAAAATTTGGAGAATAAAAAGTTGTGTGCATATACCTACATACACACAAATGTATACACATACAAGCTTTCTTAGTTCCAACTATATTTGCTTCAAAATACCCAATCTAACATAAAATAATATTAGGTTACTATGAGGCTCTTGTGGTACTAAATTTTGAAATGCCTGGTAAGTGAGGATACTTCAAAATCCAATATATCTTTTTTTTCCCTGTTATGGAAAGATGTGAGCAAACATTTATACAGCTGTTCATAGTCATGTTGATTCATAAAAAAACAATTTGAATACTTTGAAAAGAGGACTTGCCTCGTTCCTGCCACCTGTGACATTTTGTGTCAGCCATTACAGCTACTCATTTGCTTCTGATTTAAGGGACATGTCACATGATTATGTCACATCAGGAAATGTCTAATTTAATATTTCCAAAGTATATTCTGAGAAATAGCATTCAATTAAACGACATCTTCTGAATAGCAAATAATGGAGCTGGGCTAGTCCTGCTTTTGGCAAGCTGTATGGTATAATGTAGTAAAACAGCTAGTACCAAAATCAGGCTAAAAAAGATGATTAAAATAATATTTTATTATCTATGTGAAAGTACTAAGTAGTCCCCTGTTTAGGAACAAGTTCCATTCCTAAGGTCTGTCCTTAGGCTGAATTTATATGCAAATCAGTACACTATTATTATATAACACCATATATGTAGTATTGTATAATAAATTAGAACCATTCTGCATTTCACTTGAACTACTGTGTATTTGACCCAAATTTTGTTGCAATGGACTCCATTCTTAGCTATAGCTTATCCTTAAACCAGAGCATTATTAACCTGGAGACTTGCTGTATTTTCAAAACTATATAAAAATTATCATGATACACAGACTTTAGTTACCGAAGCTTCTTGCAAGAATTAGCCATTTCAAGATCCTATTTAGAATACACAGAAGATAAATACACACACACGCGTTGTACATTATTGGTTGTTAATACTGAGGAATATTAACAAATAGGATGCTACTCTACACCTATTTGTATAATTGCAAGGGAACAATTTTTCATCTAAATTTGGTAAGAAAAGTTTGCAAAGTAACATTTGCATTTAAATGGAAAAATATTTTTAAGATGTTTTACCTGTGAAGTTTGGCCCTGTAATTTAGCAAGCTGAGCAGTTCGAATGTTTAAAGACTGACTTCTTGTAACTGTTGCCCCAGAAGCAGATTTTCCACTAAGTTTTCTTTCAAGATGGCTCTTTCCTGGAGACTTCTCTTCTAGTAGCACAGCATCCCAAGGATCTTCTACAACTTTAGTATTAGTTATCTTTCCTCCATCTTCTGAAGTGTAAAATATATCTATATTGTCCACCTTTGGTTTACTTAAAGGATCTAAATCCAACCAATCAAACTTACTAATATCATTGGAGCTTTCAGAGGTTGACAAACTAATAGTAGATTTAGCACCAGTCATTTCTAAGTCTGTCTTTGATTTCCCATTTTTCTGAAATTCTGAAGTACTTGCAATCTTATCAAATACTTTTGCCATTTCAGGGCTAAGGGTTGAATGATACATAGGTGCACTTCCTTGGGGATGGAACGTTGAAGTAAACGGCAGTGGGTATGAAATGTATGGAGACCTTTCTGGAAGACAAAGATAGGCAGGCTTTGTAGATTGATAAGTGGATACAGCTGGATGAAGACCATTCTGAAAGACACCAACTTGTTTATTGAAAGAAGGTACAGGGTAAACAGAAGATCCGGCACAACTAGAAGACCCAGGCAAACTAGACGTCCATTGCCCTCTTTGAGCAACAGGGTGAGAATAAAATTGCGAAGATGATGCCCCAAGTATCTGAGTGGCTGACAATGTAGATGGTTTGTGGGATTCAAGATTTTCTTCTAAAAGAAGTTTCTCTAATTCAGCACAGGTAAGTTTGTCTATGTCAATTGAATTTAACTTATCGTCCACCTTCTTCTTGCCATCAGACTCCGGAAACACCATAAGATCATGATCTTGTTTTCTGCAGGACTGTACGTTTGGCCAAGAGTAGCTTAAGGTATCACTCTTTTGTCTACTGCCAACCACTACTCTTTCTTTTTGCATCTTAGCCAGAGCCTCAGCTTCCATTTGCAGTGCTTCTTTTTTATCCACTTCTTTGGGCCTTGTTGGATCCAAAACTGGTGATGAACGTTGTTTAAATTCATCGCTGCTAGATATCTGGGCCATTCTGTGAAAGCAGATGTCCATTAACAATTTCAATTCTTCTTCTGAAAATCTTTGGCCCCAAAACGTTCAAACAGATTCAATAAAACTAGTGGAGGGGAAAAAACATATAATACTGAAAGTATTTACAAAGTCGCTATTTTCCATTTTTACTTTAAAATTCTGTCTATTAGGGCTTTATAGGTATTTGGAAAGCCGGAAAGGTGCTTTTGATCCACTATGGACAAGCTTGCAGCGAGCAGCTACCTAAAAATGCCACAACTTTTCCCAGCCTTGCATGATATCCTTGAAAAATATCTGAAGCACCGACAGAATGCAACTATATTATCCTATCTTTAACTCCTTAATTCAAATGTGTATTTTTCTGAGATCTTATGGCTATTGTATGAGATCAGAAAAAGTCACAGCTTGTCTAAGGAGCCACTGACAAGTACAACAAATATACTCGCACCAGATGTGAAGCACCTTTCCTGCTTTGGATCTGTATTATTATACATTCCTACAGAATTTGTATATTTGGAAATATTGCAATTAAAACTATCCTTGACTTAGTTTCTCATATCAGATAATTATTCATCTGGATTGTTCTGAACAATGACACTGCAAGGTATAAATATAAAAAAACGTATTAAAATAATTTTTATGCCATTCAGTGTTTTCTCTTTGTGTCATTGAGATACACAGCCCTAAGAACTGCTGATGTACTTTCTCCTTAAAAAGTAGCCTTTCTATTTATCAGTCTCTTCCCCTCTAGCCTAACAGAAGAAAACCCAGAGCTAATTGAGTTCCTTAGTTTCTCAGAGAGATTAAAAGATAATCACCACACTCCAGCTACTTGCACTTATAGCTAACATGAGAGAAAGTGCCTTCTGTTCATCTACTCATAGCTTACCTGTCAGGGGTGATTCTGCTTAATGCCTTTAGGCAAGTAGGCTGGGTTAAGGTCATCACAGGCTTCTAGCTTTCTTCCATTATTCCCACCAAAGCTGGGCAGAATGAAGGAATGTGTAGTACTAGGATTAAACAAAAGAATATGGTTGATAGAAGAATGGGAAAACATAGAATATATATTAGAAATATGGCACAACTAATACTGTATATTGTATACCAAAGTCATTAAGTTAGACATTCATAATGCTTCCTTAGATGAGGAATCACTGTTAACAAACTCTAGGTCAGTGATGGCGAACCTTTTAGAGACCAAGTGCCCAAACTGCAACCCAAACCCCACTTATTTATCGCAAAGTGCCAGGGCTGCATCAGCATTGTGGTGCCCTCAGGGTGGGGGTGGGGAGGCCGTGGCCCACTGGGTGGGCATGGCTGCAGTGGTCACAGCAGACTGGGTGAGCGTGGCCGGGGCCAGTCCGTTGCCATCTCTGGGGCATCCCCGGGGGGGCCAACGCCACTTGCTCGCTCACTTCCTGCCCTGTCGCTTCCAAACGCTACGTGCTCGCTACTCTGACGAACTCTGGTGGGGCAACAGTGTACATGCCCACAAAGAGAGCTCTGAGTGCCACCTCTGGCACATGTGCCATAGGTTCGCCACCACTGCTCTAGGTGCTTTAGAGTAGCCTTATTGTATCAGCACTGAATTCCGGTTTCTTATTTATTTAATCAAATCCATAAAGTGCTCAACTCAATCGACTATGGACAGTTTCCAACAAAATCAGCCAATACAAAACCCCAATAAGTTCAAATAAAGGACAGAAACCAAAAAGGAAACTGATAACACAAAGATATAAAATAAAAAACAATCCCCCCCCTTGCCAACTCTTTATCCTAAATCCTGGGGAAAGAGTCCTATTTTCAAGGCTCACTTAAAGGACAGCAATATATGGGCAATGCAAATTTCTGGGAGGATACCATGCAATGGTGGAGGTGCTATAACAAAGAAGGCATAATGTCCCAACAAATGACATTTTTTTCAAGGAGGGGACCCAAAACACCCACATCATGCTGGTCTTTACAAGAGTGGGCAGAGACAATGAGAGAAGGGCAGTCTCTCAGGTAACATGAATGGCTTCATAGGTCACTGTCAATATCATAAATTTCACTCAGAATCTCATTGATAGCCAACCTACTGGGCTAGAATTTGCACACACAAAAATCTACTAATTGGCTGCAAAATCAACAGATATAGCTATAAAAAGGAAAATTAAAATTTAAGTTCTGCAAGTATAGTTTCCAAATAATGAAGCCATATTTCCATTTTATTCTACTCAGATCAGACCATACCTTGACTACTATTTTCAGCTCCAGGAACTACACTTAAGAATTTTTAGAAAATGATACTGATTCCAAAATATATAATGAAGATGATTAGGAAAAAAATCCTATGAAAATAGATTAAAGGACATCTTTAGCCTTGAGAAGGTAGAAGGGGGCTATGACACTATTCTTTAAGTACACAAAAGGATTTGCTCAGGTCAAGAAATATCTTTTGTTCAGAGTGCAAGACAGGAGTTAATACTATAGATTTAAGTTACAGAAAGATAAAACCCAATTAAGTTTTAGTGAGAAAAAAAACCCTCAATTATTCAGGCAGGTGGCATGCTCCTTTCAATGAGGAGTAATTACATACTAGACAACTCATGGCATTGTCGTTTCATTGTTTTAAAGATATTTCTATAGTTAGACAGAAAAACAATGATTATAGGAGGACAAAATAATTAGTGGGAGTGGGAGCAACTTCTGATCTCCTGTGGGATACCCCACTGAATTTCCTTATGGGAAATTGGCGGTGTGCATTGGAAATCTTCCTCTCTCTTTGTTCCTCCTTCCCTTCTCTCCCTTCCTCTCTCTTTCAAGTTTCCTTCCTATTCCTCCCTTCCTTTTCTCCTTCCTTCCTTCCCTCCCTCCCTACCATCCTTCCCATCAAGGCAGGTAATTGGCTTCCTCTCTTCCCTTCCCTTCCTCCCTCCCTCCATTTCTGCCTCCCTCCCTCCGTTTCTGCCTCCCTCCCTCCCTTCCATTCCTTCCTTCCATTTCCAACAGGAGGTAAGTGGCTACTGCTGGGTGCATGAGGGACTGAAAATGAGTTCAAATGACTGTAGCAGCATGCTGGCAGCACTGAAGCAGCCACAAGTTCCCTAAATTTCATTCCCTCAGAAGTAATGGATTCTGGCATTCTGTACCCCATTTTGAGGTACCTTGGTTGAAAAGATTTTGCCCTATGCGGCACCATTTTGCCATTTTGGTTACAGGTTATGAGTGTTTTAGTAGTATATAAATATAATGCAAACAACAAACTTTGAAAAAAATAAAGACCACTCTTCAACTATGATATTGATGGAAGCATATAAGCAGTTAGTTCAGAAGCTTATTATCAAAACTACCATAATAGGGCTGATAGTAATTTTCTTATTTTCTGTACTATATCACCTGCCTCAGGAAAAACAGATACAGAAGTCTGGCTTAATCAATAACAACTGTTCACTTGTATTATTCTAGCACTTAAAACAATATTTATATACTGTTTGTTTTTATATCTCCACAGATTTAATGCTTGATGAGAAATCACTTCAGTATCTTTATGTAAAGGCAAATTATTTAAATCATGCATCACATTGTCTTGATCATTAATTAATACAACTCAATGCTGATCTGTCTCTTCCAAGGCCTCCTACTTTTCCCAATGAGAAAAAGGGGTTTTCAGTCCTTAAAAGCATTGTGTTAAAAATTTCTACTAGAAGCGCAAGCATAAGAGTTTTCAGCACAGAAAAACAATGTAAAAAAAATTATGCTCTGGGAATCCTGCAAGATATAAAATAAATTGCCTGAAGTTTTATGGTAGAACTAATAAGGAGAAACAGAACATTGCTTTTCGATTTGAGAAAAAAAACTGACAAGAAGTTAATAAACTGGACTGGAATATCAGGTCCAAATAGGAAGGAACTACATTTGAGTATGCACTCAGTTTAGTTACGGAGCTCGCTACACAATTGTGCCAACAAGTCACGGAGCTTTGTTTAGCACCAAACATTCTTTATATGATAAAATATGTTAATACACACAACTGCACGTGCACACACCAGCAAAGCTTGTTTTAAGTAGGAGTACCGGAATAGCCTCACCAAGTGGCAGCATCTAGCTGCTCTTGTCTGGCTCAAAATCTAAGCAAGTTCAGGCCTGGTTACAGATCAGGTCTAGCTACTTGGATAAGAGACTACCAGGGAATATCAAGACTGCAGGCTATACTAAGAAGTTGAAAAATATCCCAAATGAAAGTTATGGCAAACCACGTCCATACTGTTGCCAAAGAAAGTAATATAAATGCATGGATATGCCCATGACGTTACCAGATGCACATCCGTGAACACCAACTATCAGTCAGAAAACACAATGAAAACTTTTTACTCTGATAACACAGGGAGAGAGATTCAACCATAGTTTCAAGTGGGAAACTGTAAACATCCTAGACCAGGGTAAATCCATGCTAAGTAATACCCAGAAGCTTGGTATTCAGACAAATCAGCCATCAATAAACAAATAAACCACATTTACACACTATTCAAAAGAATCAATAAAAAAGTTCTCCTCTCCAGCAATCAATACCCAGATAAGCAGGGATTAATACCAGATTAAACAGTCTAGACAAAAACAATACCCTAATCAAGGAACTAACAAGAAGAAAAATCATATTCTAATCACATTATCAAAATTCTGGCGCTTGGCACCACACATCCCCTTTATAATCATGGGGGGAGGGGTGCTGCAACTACCCCACCTGCCTATCTCACCATCAGTCCCCAACTCACCCATCAGCACACACAAAACTGCTGTGGCCCTGGATTCCTCGGCCCACTCCCTGCCTACTTCTTGTTCCAATATGCCTAGAAGGCCCAGAGACGTCTCCGGCCCCACTACCGTACACCCAGACCCACTCACCTTTGCCTTTTTGTACAACTGTTGACAGATAAGCTAAGCCAAACCAAGGCCTAGCCAGACAGCTAGCAAATGTGATGTTTCTGAAAGGGTAGAAAAAGGCCATTTCTAGCCTTCAAAACAATTGCATGAAAGGAAGAGGAACTCCTGCAGAGGCCAGAGAAAGGAAGCTCGGATC